CATTAGGGTAGTTAAATGCTCTTTGTTTCAATATACATTAAATCACTAGTAGAAATAAAAAAATATATCCTTAATTTGCCAAGCTAAGGGTTTGTTAGTTAAACCCAACACCTTGCTTGATAAAAACGATAGTTAGCTTAGTATCTTAGTCATTAGAGCTAGCTTAGTAGCTTAGTATGCATATTCTTATTTTAAGAGTTGCTATTGCCTAAATGCTAAGTATTGCATCATCATCGCATGCATATAGAGAATGAATTGGTGGAGATAGTGACTACAGACAATCCCGCGTTTGAGGAGATCATCGAGGAGTATGAGGAGGAGATTCTCTTGCTGAAGGAGGTCTCGGAGCCACCACCGACTGACTCGACTGACACTGCTCCTGCCCAAGGCAAGCCCCGATGCATAACTCTTATTTTTTATAATCACTATATATATATATGTGTGTGTGTGTGATGTGCATTTACGTTACAGGAATCTTATGAAAACCACATGCATAGATATATCTGTCCTATCAGTCTTATTAGTGCAGGTTCGAGTAGCTGCTATGCTTAGGTTTTAGGTAACGTGAGTAACCTACCATTACTCACAATAGGTGATTATTATAATTACTCTCATGATAAGAATGATGAAAGGAAAATGGAGACCGGGCAGGAATATGGTATGGGTATTGGTGGGTGTAACGAGTTGTGTCCCACTACCATGGGGCTTCGCTTGATTACACTATTTTTCCAGTCCGTGTTGATTGAGGACCGTCCGTTACTGTGGATGGTAGTTAGGTCACAGACTTAGTATCCTGAGCACATACTTGCTTATGGCAGCGGGAAGGCTAGTTACACTCTTGTCGTGGGTTCCGGCTCTTTCTGGACCGACTGATTAGATGCGGGGAAAGATAGAGGTCTAAGCACCATGTTGAGACCGGGTCTCAAGTGTGGGGGCTTAGAGTCCAAGTTTGGACGGGACCTAGACCCCATGACAGGAGTGGAATGGGTTGGTCTTGTTTGTGCCTGGGGTACAAATGGGGCGTGTGTTTTGGGGTATCCAGCTAGGATACATTGATTCGTGAATCGCTGTTTCCGTGAGACGGTACGACTTAGCTATGGTCTAGCACTGTAGTAAGAACTGGAATATGAAAGATGGTAAATTGGTTCTGATTGCTCAACCCATGCTTGAAAGTAGAACATGTGCTTACCTAGAATGGTTAGCTAATGAAGTAATCATGACTGCTAATTAAACTTGATCTTAAGGACGTACTTCTAGTAATGCTTTCACAAACAAAAAAACATCAAACCCATATTGGCTATCATATCCTTGAGAGTCGGAAAACTATTCCCACTAGTCGGGTATGTTTTTGCGAGTACATTGTGTACTTAGGGTTTATTTTACCCTGTTGCAGGTGCAGCTTGAGGAGTAGCTCTTGTGTGGATGATTCTTCTGGTGGGCACAGATGGATCCTTGTATCGTTTTCGCTAGATGTTTATTTTCATTCCGTTGTTTAATTATCGCACTCTAAACCCTGGTTTTGTAATAAATAATTTCTAAGAAATCTTGTTGTATAAAATGGACTAAGTATTGTAAGCTCGTACTCATTATTGGATTCTGGAGATAAAACATGGATTGATTCAAGTTCTCCCTTAGGGTGTGCTTGACAGAACTGTCTGATGTAGCTAACTTTTGGGGTGCTTAGTGTCTAGTGGAAGACGAGCGCCTCCGAAAGCATGTTATTTCGGGCGGTTCTGCCACATCGGGCGACCCTAGGGAGGGTCGACCAATCCCACCAAGTGGGCCCTACTCACCTCGGTCCTGGTGAAGCCTTGAAACACACTCATAAGTGATTTCACCCTTAGATCCAGTCTGCGTTTTCTCTGGATAGCTCACACACAGTTCACATGGATTGAATGGCCCACAACTCACGTACTGAGGATCTCCAGATGGCCCCACCAACACATAACCACTTAAGAAGGAAGGGCCAAGCCCCCCACCAAGGGAGGGGCCCCCACCTGTCATAGGAGGGGAGGTCGACACCTCATGTTTTCTGTTTGTGCTTAGCTTTCTCCGCTACCTTCCTCTTGGTCAATATGTAAACAAGCACAAGTGTGCTGGATCACCACCGTTCATCTTATGATGGTTTGATCCAAAGGATGAGGTGAAGATTACTTGGATTCATGGGCCCACACCATCACTATAAATAGGGGTACCCCTCTCTTCCAAGACATGAGCACGACTCTAAGAAGTAGAGAAGATCCACTACTACCTTAGTCTTAGTAGGATAGTCTAGTGTGGGAGTTAGAGTGAGTAGTGAGCTAGCTAGTCTCGAGTTTTCTGATTTAGTCTTCTATAAAGTCTGGTGTATCCTTTTTCTTTTTAGTAAGACTTTGCTTATGTAATATATTTATCTTCTTTACTTTGCTTAGTGTTTACTTTGTGCAACATGCATTTGGTTGTGTTGTAGTGGTTCTTAGCATAGTCATAGTTGTATGCTTGTTGATATAGAATTAGCACACTCTTGCTCCTGATCACCGCCCTTCATCCGACGCTATAATTGATCTGAGTGCACACAACTAGAGTAGTGAGATATTGTGTAGACGTGGTGTCTAGACTATACTTCGACTATGGTTGCTGCTTGTCCCATGGATTGTTCGTGGTAATCAATAGGTGACGCTGGGTAGATGATGAGACATCATTACCCGGGTACCTCTCAAACCGTTCATGGGCACCTACAGCCGGATTGGGATAAGGCCACTCATTTGGAAAGCTATTGCAGCTGCATGCATGCAACATGCTAGTGTCACGCATGCAAACAGATCAGGATCAGCAAGAAAGAAACACGTCATAGACATCCATAGCAGCGATTGATTAAAACTTAATGAGTGCAACTGGAAAGAAAAAACAGTTTTGAGTGCTCACCCAGCAGGTGTAGTATCAGGTTGTGCTAGGGCAATTGGCTCTCCGGTTACTCATCCAAACAATTCTTGTATTAGAGGAGGGTGCCATTGTTCTGATAGCAGACTCTAGATAAATTATTTTTTAAAATATAATTCCAAGAAGGAACATGCTATGCAGAAGGAAATGTTGAATAATGTAGAAGCATTTATGCATGCAACATTTAGGTACTCCTTAGAGTTACAGAAACAATATTCTGTTCAAAAGCTATCTATTGAGGCAAGTCTATGTATCATGCATATGTATTGAACTTCATTCGAATTGACTTATTTTGAATTAGTTTATATTAGTTAGAAGGAAATTTAGAATAAGCTAACAAGCTAAAGGTAGGCCTAGACAAAATTCATTATTAGTTGAATTGATTGTTTTAAAATTTGAATACAAGCAAATATACAACCTGTTCGCTTGTTGGTTTCAGCCAGGGCTTATCAGTCATGATACAGTGTTTTCCTCTCACAACAAACCAGCACCAGCTGGGCTTATCAGCCAAGAAACCAACCAGCGAACAGGCTGATAGTTGGAGCAATGTTGAAAGAGCCTACTTATTTTCTGGCACATACTTACATACTCCCTCCATCCCAAATTATAAGACGTTTGACTTTTTTGGCCTCAAGTTTGACCACTCGTCTTATTCAAAAAAATTGTGCAAATATAGTCAAATTTAAATCATTCTTGAAGAATTTTTATTAATAAACCAAACCACGACGAAAGAAGTGATATTTTACACAAATTTTTAAATAAGACGAGTGGTCAAACTTGGTGTCAAAAAAGTCAAACGTCTTATAATTTGGGATGGATTGAGTAGATAAGAACTCTTGGTCTTCAAATTCCCCTTGATTTGCTTCACTATTGTCAAATCCAATAAAAATGGACATATGCCTGCGCATAAGAGGTAAACGATCTTCTATTACTGTACAATAAAGTGGATGAAGATTGTTAAAGTGCTCATTCTGATGCATTATTCCTAGAAATACTGCACGAACTGTACACATGCCAATTGAGTAACCTGTGGCACATGTCATAGCTATAAAATGAACCGGGCAATAACAAAAGACGCTTTAACCGTATAAGCTCAAAGTCACATAATACATAAACTGTAGGTCTCTTGCATCATATTAGTTTATGGTTACACTGTAGTTTCCTATTATTTTGATCCTCAATGCACACAGAAGGTCATACCTTCTACTTCTTCTTTTGATATGTTCATATAGTATACATTTATTCCATTTAGAGTGTCTTTTTTATGTCATTCTTTCTTTTATATTTATATTTTGTTTTCTCCATTATGTAGCTTTTTCTATATTTTGTGAGATGTTCACCGACATATTTTGGCCTTAGAACTTTATTCTTGTACGCATTGTAATAATGGAACGTCTTTTTTAATTTTGACTTAAATGGTCTGATACACGGTCTATTAACATAATTTTTCATAGCTTAGACAACATAATTATATGGTGCAGTGGTGGAGAATGAATTTGTCAATCTACAGGTCTTGTGTTGAACATCTAACACATGCTATTTTTGCTTTCTATTTTCAAGTATTTTTTTCCTTCTCATTTTTGTGCACACCAGCGGACGGAGCAAAACTGGGAGAGTCATGTGCGGCTGTGGCCTGTGCGTGAGAAGACTGCGTGCAGAGCGCGGAAGAAGAGGCCAGCCCATGTGCAGGATCGTATTTGGTGAGCCAGTGCGCTCCAAGCTTCGGAGTAGGCCGGTCCTTACGCGAGAGTGAAACGCGGGACAGGAGGCCGGCCCATGTGCAGGAAGGGATTTTTTGGTCGGCGAGGTGCATGGTGCCACCCAGTCGGACCTGAAGCGTCCCAAAACTAGAGCCGGCCTTTGGCGCACGCGTGCGACGACCTGCTTTCTTTGACAAACAGGGCGGCTGCAGTCGTGGAGGATTGTGCAACGTGCCATTGATTGACCCAGCTTAGCTTGCTGACCAAATCACAGATAAGTATAATATATATACGTACCATATATAGCCAAGCATGCATCCAGTTCGGCGATGAAGACCCCCCAAACGCCTACAACATAGTGACCCTGGAGGCGCGACACGATCATTCATCATACAGAGAAGAACTGACGGCATGAGCTGGACGCATAAGCTCGATCTGTTTAAGCTGACGGATAAAAGAAATCAATTAACTGCAACACGAGTGCTCAGGGCTTTACAAGTTTATATGAATGGCATGTTTGGTTCGCTGGTACGTATTCATTCCCATTGCGGCTCAGTTCACGGACACCAAACACTGAAGCAACACCACCGTCTCGCGTTGGGTTTTGCCGTTTTGGGCTTCTGGTTGCGGCGTTGGGCTCACTTGATTGACAGCATATTGGATATTTGGAACGCAGCGTTCTCTGTCTTCAGTCATTTCTTCGTCACGTTGTGGCTGTCTTGCCGACTCTGCTGCTGCTGCTGCTGCTCTAGGTCTCGTCAACTCCTCATCTGCTGCTTCTCACCGTCATCGCGGATAACAAGCTCCTATATTTTATACCATATGCAGAACCAAGGCCCTGCAGTTACGTGGTGTGCAAGAGGACCGGCTATAGCTGTTTGAGACGAATTTAACTAAGTTTTTTCACGTACAATTTAGCTCCTAACTGCCGCTATAGCCCGATTTAGCCATCTATATAGCCTGTGTTGAGACATACAGAGTAGATAGTTATAAATGCCCGGCTATTTAAAACACTGATCCAAACACACACGTGTGTTCTAGCAGCGGGGTTGTGCTGCCCTCAACAAGGCATAAATAGTAGTGTAAATAGATAGACAGATTTGAGCATATATTATTATATAATAATAGCAACCTGATATGGGGTACACATGCTGAAACACCGATCGACAACAATGTACAATATATCGATATCACGTCGATCTCCTCGAGACAGATGCACAGTGCAAATTTTATTCACCGTTGCAAATAACACGACGACAATATACAATATAGACGACATGACAAACATACCCCAACTCATTCAGCAGACTGAAGGCTCCGAATTGAATGACGGCGCCGACGTACGTGGACGACGACGATCTAGCTAGCTAGTAGTGTCCCTGCGGCCGGAGCGAGGGGCCAAGCAACACCATAGCGCTGCGACCTTACTAATAGATATACGGATACCACACATGACTAGCTAATAAACGAACAGCAGTAGCTTAGCATAATCCAGATTCCTGATATATGGAACAGCAGATGCTCTTCACGTACTACTTAACACTGCATGCAGCTGAAGACGACATAGACATAATTGTTAAAACTGTAGGATCATAGATCTAGCCTTTGACTGTTCTATTCGGTATAACATGTAAAACGGTAGATCCTAGGACATGTAGAACGGTCTACAGAGAGACAGGGAGAGAAAGGGAAGGGTACCGAACCTGAGACCGCAGGAGTGGAGGATCTAGTAGCCTCCATCAGGTTCGTCGATGTAGGCTGCGCACGGGCAGCGACGGTCGGTGAAGAGAGGCGACGCAGTGGAGACGGTGATGCAGTGCAGTGGCGACGGGATGACGGTGATGACGGTGGCGGCTTCCCGTCGCTGGCTGCGCGCCCTCTTCGAGATCGGAATTAGGGTTTGTCGGTGGGAGTATGGCTCACGGTGAACCTCGTACCTCGAGCCGCCGGCCCTCACCTCTTTATATAGCGCAGTGCGACGGGGGCCCACCAACCATGTAGGGTTGGGCGCCCCCGATCAGGGCGCGTGACCAAGACCCAATAGGCCGTTGGGCTTATTGGTTGGGAGATCACTCTAACATTCTCCCCCTTGATCTCACTGTTACTTTTATCTTTAAACTTTAAACTTCAATCATTTTATCCTTACTCATTTCTTCACAGATGATGCATAGAGCATGTCTCATCGTCACGGTCAATCGCCGATAGATTTAACAGCTATAATGCACGTCTCTGATATGAAATAGTTACTTTAACTTTTGGGCCCTTTATAGTCCAGGGATCATAGGCTTTCCCTTAAACCCATGCCGGCTACATGTTCTCTGAACACGTTGGGTGGTAAGCATTTTGTAAGCGGATCCGCGAGCATCTTTTCGGTACTTATATGCTCAAGACTTATCATTTGATCCTGAACTTTATCCTTCACAACATAATACTTTATGTCAATGTGTTTGGCAGCACCACTTGACCTATTGTTGTGAGCATACTGTACTGCTGGATTATTATCGTAGTATAACTTCAGTGGTCTATTGATGTCGTCAACCACCTTCAAACTGGGTATGAACTTCTTTAGCCAGTTCACCTGCCCCGTTGCCTCATAACACGCTACAAACTCGGCATACATTGTGGACGATGTAGTGACGGTTTGCTTTGAACTTTTCCATGAAATAGCTCCCCCTGCGAGAGTGAACACATATCCAGACGTGAATTTTCTATTATCTCCCGCATAATCAGAATCTGAATATCCCACTATATGGAGTGAATCAGATCTTCTATACGTCATCATGATGCCTTTCGTTCCTTGCAAATAACGCAAGACTTTCTTTACCAATTTCCAGTGTTCTATTCCAGGATTGCTCTGGAATCTGCTAAGTAACCCGGTAACAAATGCCAAGTCAGGGCGCGTACACACTTGAGCATATTGCAAGCTTCCGACAGCTGAAGCATATGGAACCACTTTCATTTGATCGATCTCATATTGGTTCCTGGGGCATTGAAAATCCCCATATCTGTCGCCCTTGACTATAGGAGCAGGTGAGGGACTACATTTGTGCATACTGAATTTCTTTAAGACTTTTTCTATGTATGCCTTTTGTGACAGTCCTAATACCCCTTTACTTCTATCTCGGTGAATCTCGATCCCTAGAACGAACGAAGCTTCACCAAGATCTTTCATATCAAATTTTGAGGACAAAAACTTCTTTGTTTCTAGTAGTAGACTGACATCACTACTAGCAAGTAAGATATCATCCACATACAGGACAAGGAAGATAAACTTCCCATTCTTAAACTTTGCGTAGACACAATTGTCCTTAACATTATCTTTAAACCTAAAATTCTTTATTGTCTGATCAAACTTCAAGTACCACTGTCTTGAAGCTTATTTTAATCCATAAATGGATTTCTTTAGGCGGCATCCTAAACGTTCTTTTCCTTCCATGACAAAACCTTTCGGTTGTGCCATGTAAACATTTTCTTCTAAGTCTCCGTTAAAAAATGCCGTCTTTACATCCATCTGATGTAATTCTAAATCGTAATGTGCCACTAATGCCATTATGATTCTGAAGGAATCCTTACATGAGACTGGAGAAAAGATCTCATTGTAATCAATCCCTTCTCTTTGTGTAAAGCCTTTTGCCACAAGTCGGGATTTATATCTCTCTATATTCCCTTGAGAGTCAAGTTTTGTTTTGTAGACCCATTTACAGCCTACTGTTTTGGCTCCTTTAGGAATTATCTCCAAATCCCAAACTTTATTTGCATTCATTGATCTCATCTCATCTTCCATGGCCTCAAGCCACTTTGATGAATGATCACTTTTCATGGCTTCTTCAAATGAGGTGGGATCATCCTCCATTTGAAATTCTTCAGTGTTGTACACTTCATAATCAGCAGGAATAGCTGATTTTCTAACTCTTTGAGACCTTCTAGGGGCCTCCTCATTTGGCACATTTTCTGTTTGAGGCTGTTGTTGCTCCTCCTCATGTGTGGCAATAGTTTCTATAGGATCCTGAGGAACAGATTTCTCATCATCATTCATTGTTGCCACAGGCGGGATAACAACAGGTGCTGGCACCACAGTGTCTTGTACTGTCGGTGCAGCAACAGCAGGTAGTGAGAAAAATGGCTCATGAATTATTGGAGTGGGTGCATACACCCGCTTCTCTTCAAGGTCAATTTCTCGAGCTACCATGCTCCCCCTAATCATTTCATCCTCTAGGAAGACAGCGTGTCTCGTTTCCACAAACTTTGTATGTCTGTTAGGACAGTAGAAACGAAAACCTTTTGACTTTTCTGGGTAGCCAATGAAATGGCAACTCACCTGCTTTTGGGATCTAGCTTCCCAATGTTTGGGTTAAAACTTTAGCCTCAAAGAGGCTCCCCCACACACGCAAGTGGTTAAGTGAGGTACTCTTCCATCCATAACTCATACGGTGTTTTAGGCACCGACTTACTTGGTACTCTATTGAGAATATGAATGGCGGTTTTTAACGCCTCCATCCACAGACTCGTCGGTAAAGTGGAGTAACTTATCATACTACGCACCATATCCATCAGGGTATGGTTACGCCTTTTAGCTACTCCATTCTGCTGAGGTTCGCCCGGTGTTGAATACTGGGCGACTATACCATTCTCCTGTAAGAACCTTGCAAAAGGTCCAGGAACTTGTCCATATGGGGTATGCCGACCGTAGTACTCTCCCCCACGGTCAGACCTGACTATCTTAATCTTTAAATCATGTTGATTTTCAACTTCTGCTTTAAATATTTTAAATTTATCCAACGCTTCTGTTCTTTCTTTAATTGGATAAATGTAGCCAAACCGAGAGTAATCATCTGTGAATGTTATGAATGAATCATAACCATCCACACTTTTCATAGGAAAAGGACCACAAATATCTGTGTGAATAATCTATAGAATTCCTGCGCTTCGTTTGGCATCTTTCTTAATTTTCTTTACATACTTTCCTTTTATGCAATCTCTACATTGTTCTAAATCTGAGAGCTCTAATGGAGGAAGAATATCATTCTTAACTAGTCTTTCTATTCTCCCCCTCGAAATATGGCCTAAACGACAGTGCCATAATTTCGACAACGCATCGTGAGCTCTCTTTCGTTTTCTGTTTGCATTGTTCGATGAGGATACATTCTCATTCACATCACATATGGAATTCACATTTTTACGAAGTGATAACAAATAAAGCTCGTCTTGTCGGAAGGCAAGACCAACACATTTATTATTAAACAATATCTGACATTTGCCATTTTCAAAATGGCAATCATAACCATCATGGTCCAACTTTGATACACTAATCAAGTTTCTTTGCAAAGAAGGTACATAAAGAACATCTCTAAGAAAAAGTATGAAGCCATCAGCAAGCTCTAGCGGAAGATCGCCAACGGCCTCAACATCTGCTTGTACTCCATTTACGACTTTAATGAAACTTTCGCTTCTTTGCAAAGTTCTCATCGAACGGAATCCCTGTAATGAATTAGCAATATGAATAGTTGCACCTGAATCAATCCACCAAGTAGATTTTGAAAACTTTACATACAAGGATTCATTTACAAATGTAATGATGTTCTCACCTTTATTTTTCATAATCATTTTTAAGAAATCAGGACAATTCTTTTTATAATGTCCCGTCTTCTTACAGTAGAGACACTGGTCTTTATCCAATGGGAATTGCTTGTTCTGAGACTGTTGCATGGGACCTTTTCCAGATGACTTGGAGGAAGAGCTGTTATTATAATTCTTTTTCTTATCTTTTAGGTAGTTGACAGTACCACCCTGTGAAACTTTTATTCTTTCCTCCTCCTGTACACACATGGCTATGAGCTTTTCTAAATCCTATTTTTCAGGCTGTATGTTGTAATTAACAACAAATGTGTCAAATTCTTTGGGCAAAGAAGCAAAAATCAAATGAATGAGAAACTCATCCTTGAGTGCCAAATCCATTGGTTTGAGCTTAGATGCCAGATTGCTCATTCTCAGTATGTGCTCTCTAATGCCACTGCCGCCACCAGAGTACCTTTCTGTTACCAGCTGCTTGATTAGCTGGGTTGCATATGTCTTTGAAGAGTCAGTAAACTGACTCTTTATTCTTTCTAGGTACTCTGTGACCGTGTCACAGTCTGGAATTGAGCCCACTATTGCAGGCTCAATTGTGTTCTTTATCACTGCCAAACACTTCTTGTTGGCAGTGACCCATTTTCTATGCTCAAGGTCATAGGACATCTTTACGGGAGCAAAGTCCCGCTCTCTGTTCTGCCATGCAGCATCAGTCTCATCTGTCTCCCTCACCGGTGCCACAGGTTCTCTGGGACACGGTGTGGTGACAACCCAGTCCACCTCAGTGAGGATAAAAGCCAGGTCTATCTTTTTCTTCCACTCAATATAGTTATCACCTTTTAGATCGGGGATCTCTTTGATACAACTCATCAAGTTGTATCCTCCTGAAAACACAATTTAAATAGTGTGAGAACACAAATAATAACAATAATAATTGCATGCCTTAGTTTAACGTTGGTCAAAATTAAAACATACAATTATTTTATACATTAGATCTACATCACCATTGGGCAGAAATAAAAATAATGCATAATCATTAAAATTATAATATTGCTATTAACAACGTTGGTCAGAAAATAACAATATCATAATGAACTTATATTTATCTCTTGGCTCTTAAAATCAAATTCTCCCATTGGTTCGAATTTAATTAAAAGTCCATAATTACTTTAAATACGCAGCGGAAACATTAATATTCACTGAAGCAACTTTACTATTTACTGAACAAAAAATATCGTTGGATAAATTTTGTATAGAAAATTATCATAAAAATTCAATTCAAATTGATCAAATTGTTTTCTAGAAAATAAGAAAATAAAAAAAACTGTGACTGTACTATTTGTTTGGCCATTTTGGCCCGATCCAGCAACAGTGCGCGCGGCCCAGCGAAATGCGGCCCATGGCCTGCTTCATGCGCGCGCGCCAGCGCTCCCGGCCCAGCTACCCGCGGCCCAGCCGCGTGGCGCGTGCTCCCCCGCGCCCAGGCCGCAACCAGGGCCTGGGCCGGGATTTCGGCCGAGCAGCAGCGCCCGCCTGGGCCAAAAGAGGCCCGAGCCCTCCTAACCGTTGATCTCAGGGCAACGAGATCCGACGGCACAGCACATGTTTCGGAGGAATAAAACCGGCAGCAGCGGCGATCCCCTGAAACCCTAACCTCCATTTCCATTTGCACACTCTCTCTCTTCACCTCACTGCTCTCCCCTTCTCTCCTCAGTCCATCACCGAGCGAGCGACCACGGCGAAGCAGCGAGGTCCCGGCGCCGTCGCCGGCCCCCTCGCCGGCGTGCGCGCTCCCCAGCGGGTGAGCGCGCCGCCGTCGAGCGGCCTGGCCGCGGCGCCCCTGTGGCCGGATCCCGGTGAGCGGAGCCCCGGCCGGCCTTTCTTTTCCCCGCGCGCCGGCGTGACTGTAGTGCCGCGCAACGGCGAGGTAGGCCACCCTCTTACCTTTCTTCCCCTTTCTTTTGATTCTTTTGTTCGGATTTCATCCGTTTTCATGATTAGGGTTAGGGTTGGGGTTTGGGATGGCCACTGTTTTTCTTTTCCCGAATCAATTTCGGGTTTTAGGGTTCGGTTTTGTCATGAAAACGAGCCCTCAATTTTTCTTTAACCCAGTTAGGGTTAGGGTTCAACCGAACCCACTGCTTTTCTCAGATCCGAAAGGACCGAGTTTAGGGTTCAACCGAACCCTTTGTCGGCAAAAGCCCTTTCTACTTTCTAGATCCAAACCCTAGCCATATCTATACCTAAACCGTGGCTCTGTTACCATTGTTAAAACTGTAGGATCATAGATCTAGCCTTTGACTGTTCTATTCGGTATAACATGTAAAACGGTAGATCCTAGGACATATAGAACGGTCTACAGAGAGACAGGGAGAGAAAGGGAAGGGTACCGAACCTGAGACCGCAGGGGTGGAGGATCCAGTAGCCTCCATCAGGTTCGTCGATGTAGGCTGCGCACGGGCAGCGACGGTCGGTGAAGAGAGGCGACGCAGTGGAGACGGTGATGCACTACAGTGGCGACGGGATGACGGTGATGACGGTGGCGGCTTCCCGTCGCTGGCTGCGCGCCCTCTTCGAGATCGGAATTAGGGTTTGTCGGTGGGAGTACGGCTCACGGTGAACCTCGTACCTCGAGCCACCGGCCCCCACCTCTTTATATAGCGCAGTGCGACGGGGGCCCACCAACCATGTAGGGTTGGGCGCCCCCGATCAGGGCGTGTGACCAAGGCCCAATAGGCCGTTGGGCTTATTGGTTGGGAGATCACTCTAACAATAATCCCAAGAATGCTCATGCTGGCCCCCAATGAGAGCAGCAGGGGCGATCAACGAGCTAGCTGCTGCATGCAAACTCACCATAGCAATGAAACGACCACCATGAAACCACCGACAGCGATGGCGGCGGCGGCGGTAGAGTAGACGAGCTTCATCCCCCGTGGCACGGCGGCCGGTGGCCGTGGGGGTCGTCGGCCACTCAATGCAAACAACGGCCATGACGCCTGCTACCCCGGCGAAGAATGCGACCGAGAGCGTGAGGAAGTACGCGTTCTTATGGAGGCGGCCCGGCACCGGCAGTGGCTCGCGCACGGCGAGGGTGATGGCCACGGAGGCGGTGAACAGGCCGAGCACCCATAGCGCAGTCACGACCTTGGGCGACGCGGCGGACTCCGGCGCCTGCAGTTGCCGCTGCAGAGCAAGATCAGCGGGCGTCGCCATCTTCGTTCTCAACTCGCCTTAGCGTCGTCGCCGTTTTGGGATTTGAAACTAGGAATGATGGAACTCAGCTCGCAATTGAAGAGGGAGGGTGAGGAGTTAAGAAGAGAAGAGGGACTGATTTTCGATTTAGTTTCCTCGGAAGATGAGAGATTGGACGGCCAAGCTCACGCGAATATATAGGCCGTGTCCGTCTGTCCAATCCTATCTGATCCGGTAAGTCATCAAAAGAAAGAAACCATCAAGGCGTGATGTTCCTGTAGCATCTCGTATGTATACTCCAAACATAAGGCCCCTCACATAAAAAAAACGCCAACAAAACTAAATCAACAAGTATAGGAAATTGGGCTGGTGGAATGTATGGTTTACCCAATGTGTAGAGCAGAATTAAACGACTTGGGATATATGACATCATAAATAGTATGAGAGCCCACTCTCATGGTTGCATGGTTGTGTGTGGAATTGTGGATTAGGATGCGGCCATATCAAATGCACATGGTGCATGTGGGCCCTAAGAAGGGAACCACATGCATGGTACTGTGTGCTAGCAATGGACATGGATGTTTAGCAAAAGAGGGAACATTAGTCGATTTATATGTGAGATAGTCGCACGTTGCTAGTTAAGGATGGGTTAGGTTAGACCAACATATGGCTTCTAAAGTCAATTCACCAATTCTAGAATTAGCTAGGCCTTTTTATGCGAAGTGAGAACAAAATCGGTTGTCTGGAGACTAGAGTGAGTGGTCACACCTTACGTGAATTATATTTGAGTTGGTTGGACTCTACGGTGTAACATGACCCAGAATCCAAGTGGCTGACCCAATCATAGGCTCTGCCGACAATAAGACGCATGTGACGACTTTGTTAATCTTAAAATTTATCGTCTTTTGAAGTTGCTCGTATAGATAGATTTTTGTACATGTGCATTTTTAGAGGTAAGCGTATATAGATTTGTGAGAGTTGTCCATATTGCGACAAAAAAAATGCATGCATTATGCAACAAGCAAACCTTGACACGCCGACGCCGGTAGCCATATCCAGATCATCTGCCGGTAAAGGAACTGCATGCGTCACTTTTGGACCTATATCCAGATCCGCCCCGTTTGAGTCCCACACGAATCCAGGTTAATCTTGTGGTACAATGTAGTAGGCCCGGCAGGGATTAGAGCACTGGCAGGCCAGGGCCAGCAGTTCATGCACACTGGCTTTCGTGAAAAAACAAAGCACGCCTGACCAGTAGGCTTTTGCATCGATCCTGATTCATGCAGATCAGACGCACTGTAGGTCAGCGGATATGAAGCCTCGCTGGCCCCGACTGAGAATGTATGACGGCAGATATACTACCTCCGTCCCCAAAGATATAATTTTAGCTCTAGAGTGAGTCAAATTTAATTTAATAAAACATATCATCAGTATTTATGTCTATAAACAGATATACTATAAAAATATATTTTAGGATAAATCTAATTATATGGTATCATAAATAATATTATTTTTTGGTAGAAAATAGTCAAAATTGAGATAGATTGAACTGGTAGAAAATTAAATATTTAGAATTATATTTTGGCATCATCAGCTAGGATGTTGCACATTGGAGGCGTCTCTGCAAGCCAACACCTCCAAAGTGCAGCATCACAGCTGACGCCAACGCCTATAAAATAAAGAGAGCGCTCAATTGTATATCATATATCTCAAATTCCAGCAAATCATCACACCCATAAATGGATCCCTCCAACATGAAATTTGCAAACCTTACAAATCCAGACTCTCCAAACTTCTTAGAAGATTCTAGCCACCGTTCCCCTCCCCCAACAATTGGGACAGGACAAGGTGGGATATTACACTTTGGTTGGTGTTTGTTTGGAGTCAGTCGGATACTGGACGATTCCGCTAGGAATATTATCTCTAGATTCAGGTTCGCCTTGTTCCCAGAAATCTTATGGACGAAGTCGTCCCAGGTGGGACGCTTGCTCCTTGGCAAGCATACACATGCTTGAGGATTGGGGGTGTGTGGAAGAAGAGGAGCGTGGGGAAAGAAGAGAAGTGCGGGCCAAGGCGGCGCCGGTGCTGAGGAAGAAGAGGTCAGTGATGGGTGCTGGCCCCGGGCACTAGGGGTCGCCGACAACAAGCGCGGGTCGTGAGGCCTGGGTGTGGACACCGGCCGTGGGTGAGGGCTCTGATTGTGATAGAGGGGGTGAGGGGGCGAGGCTCCGGTTGCAGTCGCCGCCCGCGGGCACGGGCCGGTGGAGGTTAGAGCTTAATGGGGAGAAAGAATATGGAAAAAGAATAAGAATAAGAAATAGAATAAAACAAAAATTAACAGATGAGCTGAGTCCTACTGTCAGTGTCTGATTCCACTTTCTTGTGTCCTTCAACTAAACATAAAATAGGGATGATCCTGTCTCCCTCGACCACATTCTAGATCTGATCATCTCATTTCTAAAAATTGAAACATGATCGTCCTATTTTGCTTTGTCTCCTAAGTCCTAACCAAATACAACCATAAAGAACGAAAGCTGGCGTCCAGATATTCCATAGCAAAATTGTACCATATCCATGCATGTGTGTCCATTCAATGTACGGAGTACGAGAGTCACCGATCGATGATCGTAGACCTATCGTCTTGTCTGAAAATTGGTATTGAGGTAATACCGTGTGCAAGAAAGCTGCTGCGCATCCATCGATCAGGATCTTGATTATTGGATCTTCGGATCCTTGCGCATTGCTACGGCCTACAGATATGCTGCTGTCCCGCCATATAATAATAATTCTAGCAAACTCGTTTAAAAAAATATAATTCTAGCACTATACATATACTACTATATATACCTCTTGCAACAGCTCACGTGTCACTGTTAGATATTCGTACTCCTTTGCTGTTGGCTTACTAATCGACGAAACAAGCTACTTAATTATACTTCTGCATGCATGCAAGTCATAGCTAAACTGATGCATTATATACAGCTCACAATAGTCTGATAAACTAGGTCATGATGAATGGCTTGTGGTATGTGGGCTGTGGCTTAGTGGCTATACATATCTTCCTCATCACTTTGTATAGACCTATTTTATACTTCACAACATGGCAATTATTGTAAAAAAAGTTGATATTCCATCATCATACCGAAGAAAGAAAACAGAGGACTCCTCTTGACCTCGGCCGGTTTCCAGTAGTGGCGCTGCCCAGCCGATGTTCTTGGACTAGAGATACGCGTATCCATCTAAATCTTGGCTTGTCTACTCTGCACCTTCTCCAAAGATCGAGGGCGATGAGAACGAATCTCTGAAAAGATCGATCCGATCAGGACATGCATGAACCTTCATTCCCTCTTGGAGCACGCAGTCTTTGCCTGTCTATATGAATCTATCAGTAACAGTTCTAAAACTAGGTGTACTAGCAAGGCCGAGAGCGCACTCCAAGGACTCAGGTTCACTTTATTTCCTGGAACTAGCAATCGAGAATCGGCCTGATCTTCTGAAAGGTAGATACGCTCGTCGATTCTTCATCTTCTCCAATGACCGAGGCGGTAAAGAACGAATCTCTGAAAATATGATTCACCAATCAGGACACGTACTACTGCCATGAACTTTCCCTAGGCCTCATGGAGCGACCTCACTGAGTATATGAATCCATAAATTATAGGTGCAAGCTAGATTATTATTTATTCACATATAGTCTTTTATTAGTAGGTTTAAGATGGATAGTGTGAATGTGAGTTGAGTTTAGCTCAGCTAGTTAGATTCCTTGTGGTTAAATTTGCTTATTTGATTAATAAGTCTTCGACTTCATGCACGGATGTGATCACATGCATATAGGTCCAAGCTAGATTATTATTTATTCACATATAGTCTTTTATTAGTAGGTTTAAGATGAATCGTGTGAATGTGAGTTGAGTTTAGCTCGGCTAGTTAGATTCCTTGTGGTTTAATCTGCGTATTCGATTAAGTCTTCGACTTGATGCACGGAGGTGATCACATGCATCTTTTCTGGATTTATTTCTAGATGCTGGTGTCTGCATTTTCCTGAATTTTATTCATTTGTAGGTGATGGCCCTGTGGTCGATAAGGCGCATGTGATGACTTTGTCAATCTCAATATATATGTCATCTTAGTCATTCACGGGTGCTCATAAGGATAGCGCGGATAGGGGTGAGTATGTATGCACGACGTCTATGCATATATAGTGTAATCCACAAAAGATATGGATTAGGATTCATTAATCTATTGGCTCGATTATTACAGTCAATTTAGAGTGTTTAGATCAGCTTGGAGATTATTTTACCTCATCATTACTATAAGGAAGAAGTGATTCAGATAGACCTAAAAACTAGGGTTGGGTTCAGCCTTGGGAGTGGCAACGCTAATGAAACCAAGTTACGGTAGGATCTGTACGTTGTAAGGCAAAGCATCATCAGAACATCTAGCGCCCGGACGTCCGGACGGGGCTAGCGTCCGAATGCCGCGCCTACTGCGTCAGCTTCACGTGGGGTCCATGTCGCTCCGTGTCCCACGCCCACACCGTGGCCCGCACCCGCGCCATAGCACCCCCTCTACACCCACGTGCATGCATGCAGGCCCAACAACTGCAGCAGATGGCTGCTGCAGATGGGTCCCACTGCAACATGTGCAAAACCAAGATCTACTTTGGCAACATCTAGATGAAACACTTGCAACATACGTCTGAAATAATTGAAACACTTGCAACATACGTCTGAAATACCAGGAAAACACATGTGTAGCCATTGCAAAACATACGCAACATCCAGATAAAACACTTGCAACAAATGTGTGAAACATATGCAACATCCGGATGAAACGCACTTGCAACAGATGTCTGAAAAAACATATGAAACATTGGAGACAGACGCTTGCAACATACGTGTACAATCATTGCAATATATGCAACATCCTGATCTACTTTTACAATATCCATATGAAACACTTGAAACATACCTCTAAACACACCTAAAACATTTGAAATATACACCTGCAACATGCATCAT